GCCTAATATGGTGTACACTTTTCCGCAAAATCTTTTAAGTGTTATAGTGGTACTTCGAGAAATTCACACGTGTACTAGGTTGCCTTAATATTTTCCTCCCATATGAAGGGCACAAGAGAAATAGCAGAGAAGGCATGAGTCCATAACACATTGTAATTCTCTTCTTTGGTACGGACGGTGTAACTATGCAACGGTACCGGATAGATGTACCTCTCGCACTAAGAGTGAACCACCTAAAATCATGTGTTTTTCTTGCTTTTGCTTTTTCTATTTCACATTATTAACTCCTCTCTACAGTACAGATTATTCATTTAATCCTTAACAATAATGAATTATGCATTATGTTATCGTTTCCAATTGGACTATCCATTAATCCAACTAGTGGTGGATCATAAATGGATCTGGCATGTAAAACATGAAAAATTCGTTCTTGATTCTGCGAGAATTTTTAAAGAACCATTTTAGAAATAAATTTAAAGAAGGGCAAATAAAAATAAAACTATGGTTAGAAGCACCTTTTTTAGCACTAAGATGGGCAGGAGATAGAGAAAATTATTTCTAAGTTTTCAAGATAAATAACTCACCCAACGGAACGATCTCCAAAATCTTTTTCTCAATGTCTGCACCAAGCTTAGCAGTCATATCAGATGCAATGAATCCAGGAGCAACAGCGTTAACCTATAAATTGAAACCTCGACTAAATTTAAAATTTCCACGTGAGATTATGAGTTGTGATTAGCATATTTGTATTGCTAAAAAAAAAACTCCACAAAACTTACATTAATGTTCCTACTTGAATATTCTTTGGCAACTGTCTTTGTAAATCCAATTACTCCAGCTTTTGCAGCACTATAATTGGCTTGCCCAATATTGCCAGTGAGACCAACAACTGATGCTATATTAATAATCCTTCCCTGCACAATCATCACCAAAATTATATTTGATTCTTGAAATTGGTAAAAAACCAAAAACATCTTCTCTCAATGCCTTTTATATTAACTCTGGTCACAGATTTACTTTGATCAATCTTTCGCAACCATCTTTTTATGATCAAGAGTTGAATAATTTTGCCCAGCTATTCCGTAAAAGTTCTGTACATACATAGTATTAAACCGCACTGGACACTTTCAAGCTTCCAGTACTTGTACGTCTTATCTACTTTACCAAACATGCTCGATTTCACGTAATTATTTTGTAAATATAGAAATATGATGTGGGAATACCTTTTTCTTCTTCATCATTATTTTGGCAGCTGCCTGCGTAGAATAATAATGTCAGATCATTATACACGAATTTAAGCAGCCAATATGCATATAGGAGCTTCAAGAAATATACCTGTGTGCATAGAAATACCCCGGTAAGATTAAGATCAATAACCTCCTTCCATTGAGATGTCTTCATTCTCATCAACAAACCGTCCCTAGTAATACCTGAAACCATATCAAATCTTCTAAAAAAGATGATGGAGTGCTAAATAACTATGCCCCTAAATCGGGTTGAACTTTCGATTACCTGCATTGTTAATCAAAACATCCAATGTTCCCCATGCATCGACTGCCTGCAGATGTCCCGATAACATAAAATTACCATACTGATGTATACTAGATAAACTGATGATTAAGATAACGGGAAAATTTGCTCACAGTTTTGATCATTGCTTCCACATCTGCTTCTTGTGAAACATCTCCACCAAACGTAAGAGCCTGTCCACCATATGCCTCGATCTGCAAGAAATGGTATGCTAGACATAATCACTTTCTATTTTAATTAACCAAGACGCGGAGCATGATTGGCTAAGACTTGATCAAACTTAGTCTAAGTTTTTAAACACCTATTTTCCATGAAAGCAAACTTTAGTGACAAAAAAGAAGTAACTTTGAAATATGTTTGGGAGAAGTAACTTAAAATTTACTTTTAAGCTTAGCCAAACATTATACACAAGTTATTCTATAGATTAATGTAGATGCAGGTGGCAGCTGATTTTTGTCTTTCATCCATATTCTTCTCTGTGTGTGTGTGTGTGTGTGTGTTGGGGGGAAGGGGGCGTTAAATGAATGTTAAATCCTCTTACATTAGCAACTTTCAACTCTAAATTCAAACAACTGTACTGATTAGAAAGTATGGACCTTCCGTGGAACCTTTCAAAGATCAAAAGTCGCATATAGATGAATTGGTTAACACATTTGTTTGAACTAAAGAGCTATGAACATAGATATTTGAAACAATCCAGAAAAAAGTATGTTTATGTTGCCGATACTTTCTATACTTTTAATATTTGTCAGTGGAATCATTCACCTCTTTGCAAACTTCTTCTGCCTCCTTTGATGACCTTGCATAATTAACCAGAACCTGCAATTGAGAACATAATTAACCAGAACTTGCATAAACGGCTATCTTAAATAAACGTCTAGATCAGTAGCAAGGCAAAGAATCCAACCTTACAACCAGCTTTTCCCAAAGACAAAGCAATTGCTTTGCCAATTCCTCTGGAGGCTCCAGTAACAATAACAACCGGAGCTTCGAATTTAGGTATTGCTTCAATATTTGCTTGCTCAACGGACGCAACCTGGGCTTTTATGCCTTCATATAAACCATTCAATTAAAAAAATCAGCAGTCAGGGTACATTTCCTGCACAGAACTATACAGAATTGGCCACTACAGTGGACAAGATTTTAAATTTAAATTTGTTTTCTTCTATAGTAGTATCTAATACTGTCCAATCCACGGTTCCAAACATGCCATTAGTTCAATTTCATTTAGAATTTTGAGCATTTAAAAAATAAATTTATTAGGTACTCTATTCAACAAAATGCTGATTAATCTACAAAAAATCCCGGAGCTGAAGATTGCATTATTTAAAAAATAATAATAATAAATCTCCTGATTCCCAATTCATATTTATAATTAAATCAAAGAAGTGCATGCACACTACATAGCATAATATACATACAAGTACACAGAGACGTATACATATAACTAAAAATAGAGAAAAAGTTTTGAAATCATATATTGCTGATACCTGATGAAGAGGAGCTGGGGGATCTGCATTGCAAGTTAAGAGAATGCGGGACTTTAATTGGCGACGATAAATGCCGAATATGGGCGATTTTCCGGTGGGACTGGTAGGAGATTCCGGCGGAGTTTAAAGAAACGATGGCCGATCCGGCAGCGGAGGCAGACATGATGAGTACCCAGGTGTAGATTAAAGTTGGCACCGAGAAATTTACACACAAATGTACGGTTTTATTAGTTTTGTCGAAAAACATAGGAATCTCCGAAGGGCAGTGTGACTGTAAGCGATGTTTACAAAGAGGCCTTAAGGCCTTGTTTGTTTGGTACTTTTATTTGGGAGTAAATTTCATTCCCGGTAGCAATACTTTCAATTTAATTCAATTAGGTAATTGTATTTTAATTTTATTTAGTTGAATAATTACACTTGAATATAATTTCAATGTGATAAAGGATTCCCGCCTATATTTGCCCCTATTTGGGATCCATTTGTAATAAATCTAAAGTTTGGGGACATAGTTGCAAAATTTCCTAATTAAAATTAAGGGCTTAATTACCATTTGCGCCAAATTCCATATAATTAAAGAAAAGTAAAGTAATGATTTGGACGGGATAACACGCTAATTTGTGCTTTAAAATAGCTTGAAACCTACTTTTTTTGATATTTGAAGATAGATATTGACAATTGTCATGTTTGTTTGTGCTCAAAAGTAACTTAAAATATACTTTTATTTAAGTATGTCAAATTCCCAATTTAAAATTTACTTTTTAAAAAAAAATTAAGACATTTTCAAAAAAATTGAGTATTAAATTACTTAAATTCCGAGCAAACACGTGAAACGAGAACAAGTGGCGCTGAATACCATTTTTTAAGCTCGTCTTTGATCCAATTTTTTATAACTTATTTTCAATAATACATTTCATGAAATCAATATTTTTTATGAACTTTCAATTACACATTTTATCAAAAAAATATATATATATATCTTCTATATATAAAAGTGGCTATGAAACGGAAGTTATTGTTTTGACAGAAATTCTTGTTCCACTTTTTCCACCGTTAGCTTTAATGGATTCCGTTAAGTAGCAATTAAGGCAGCCTTTGTGCCCATTTATCTCCTGACAGCTGGAATTCCATTATATAATAATTTCAAATTTGGAAAAAAAAACGGTGCAAATTATAAGTGTACCCCATTGGCCATTTTTGTTTGTTTGAATTCCATTACTTGAGAACTCAAAATTTAGTAGAAAAACAATGACAAATTATACACGTTGACTTTAGGCAGGGATACCATTGTCTTCTCCTATACATTGTAATGGCAAAAAACATTATAATAAGTTACAATTTGGAAAAACTAGAGTCTCATTTGCTCTTATTTTTCCCCTTTTGTACGTGTTCCAGCGACTGAATTTTTGAATCTTGTCCATGCATTGGAATGGAAACTGTAACCAGAGAGAAAATATAAGTTATAAATATGTGGAGGCAGATTTTAATCACATGCAAAAGAAATTTATAATAAGTATTTTTAATATACTGTATGACTTATAATTTATAATAAAAGCAAATAAGACAAGTGACTGACACATAGCCAAACAGTGTAGTGGTCAGATTTAAAGTTTGAATACTAGGAGACATTTCGTAGGAACCCAAGAGGCATTGAATGTGGTATAAGAAAATCCATGAATTACTTTCACTTTACTGGTACTACCATTTGAAAAGTGACTGATTAACAGTGTTCTAAAAAGCGTAAAGCGTGGTTAGGCGTGGATGCCAAGTTTCAAGCTTTACGAGCCTAGGTGGGCCTAGGCGAAGCTTAGGCGTAAAAAAACGTTTTTTTATTTTAAATTTTTAATCATTGTAAAAAAATTCAACAATTCAACTAATACATACCAAACATCTAAAATTATAAAATATTGCATTTACTTAATAATTCTTTCATAATGTAGCTTGAAATTTAGATATTGTTGAGGAATCATCTTCTTCCATTAGTTTCTACAAAAAAAAAGATAAACAATACAAATGTTTATTATTTACAAAAGTCAGACCCCAAAAGCATATGAACGTGAAAACAAATGAAAATTTAGTTACATAAACAATTAAACACTGATTGGGCCTCACGTTAAGGGCTAAAAAGTATTCTTGATTAAATTTTCAGATTTTTCTACAGGAGTTATTCCACAATCAGTTCGGAATCATTATCATACATCAGATTTATGAGGGCTACAAATTACAATTGACTCTCTCGAAGTCTCAAACTGATATGTCATATGTATATACAAAATAAAAATTCACAACAAATTATTTTCGATTAATTACAGAAGCCCTGATTACAGTTTCAGACGAGTTCTTAATTGCAGAAGCCCATATTACGTTTGCTCGTTTTCACTATTAAATCATTGATAAATGCAAAACACTTTTATTCTAAGTTGTACAACTTCACTACTTAATAATAATCTTAATTGTTGTGGGTTATATTTAAAAGGGGGCGCTTTAAGCGGTCAACGATGTTGACCGCTTAATTACCGCTTAGCCTCAAAGCGAGGCCGCCTAGGCGAGCTTTTTAGAACAAAGCTGATAAATTATATTTCTTTCAATGCATTGGTGGTATGGTTTGAAGGAAGATTGAAAAGTGAGTAACTTAATTTTTTGTTTACAGTATAAGTCTATCTATGCATTATATATGGTTTTTCATGTTTTTCTGTGCTGTTTCTCTCAAATCAGGTGTGGTGAAGCAGTGCAGTGGTGCAAAGGTTTGAAGGTACATTAAAAATGTCAATCTTACTGTCTTTTGTGTGTTTATATTATGTATATAGTCTATCCATGCATTACACATGTTTGATCATATTTCTAATAAATGAAGCGACTAATATCATAGAACTTAGAGATCCATAGAAGTTATTAAAAAACTTATAAAAAAAGTCAAGAACAAATAAAACGTAATCCCCATAGTCAAGCAATAATAAGAAGAAAAATGTAACAGATATAATCCGAAAATAAAGCTTAACTACTGAGGTACTAAAAAGTCAAAGAGTACCTGGAGAAGCGATCCATCCTATACTGATAGATTGTAGAACGATGAAAATAGTACTATTATCAACAATATTCTTTGCAAATTAGAATTTGAAGTTTGGAATTTGGCTCAAAAGTCAGCTACTTGAATACTTATTTATTCAAAATATACGACTTTCCAACTATAAAATGTATCTTGATCCTTCTGTACATAAGAAAGATAAACGACACCAATAAACGTGATTTTCGCAGGGGCACGAGCAAGAAGGCATCCCCAGATACATACAAATAAAAATATATAAATTTCAACGTTCATCAAAAGACCTTTATAAGATTAAGCTGATCATTAACCATTTTTTGCAGCCCACAACCGTACATGAAATTAGGGAAAAATTCAATCTTGGAGCCAAAACATTTTCATTCTATAAATCAGTATCGTCTTACTTCTAAATCTAAACAATAAGAAAAACCCAAGAAATTAAATCAGATATTTAAATTTAAAAAAATCAACAAACAACCCATTTATCCAAGAATTTGCTCTCCTGTACACACACCTTAGACCCATAAAGACATGAAATTTTATCATTAAATCCAAATTCAAAACCACGAAGTCACCAGATCCAAAAGGACAGAATAACCAGCTATTACTATCCCAAAAATCATTTTTTTTAAAATTATCAATCATTTAATGCTTTAACAATTAATACACAAACACTCATAATAACATATAAAAGGAAGCAAGTTAACATGAATATTGAGATGCATATGAGCTCTATGGCAGCATAAGAATTATTTTAGCCTGAGCATTAAATTTTCACACATAAAGTGCAAGGAAAATTGAAGACTACATTACCGAAGAATCGCAGTTAAAAAGGGCCAGAGAATGTTAAATGAACCTTCATTTCCTCAAGAACCATATTTCACTATGATTGGCTTCTTAACCATGTGTATTTTTCCTTCAGCCTCAGCCTGAGCTCTTTGTAATAGCCTCTCTTTCTTTTGAGCTGTTCCATAGGCCTGTGCTTGAGAACCGTCTTGAATAAGCCCGTTGTTGCACATGGAAGAGGAAAAAAAATTTATCGTCATGAACAAAAAGCTTCACGTTGGTACAAGAACAATTAAATTTATTTAAGTCAAACAACAATAAGTTTAACAAAAAGGAAATTGAAAGAGGCCCCTAATAACAAGGGCAGATCATTGTTGGATCACCAATTTTCTCAGCCTCAATCTTACTCCTATACTCCTTAATTACATTAACATGATCCTCATTCCCATAACTCTTCTTTCTGCTCGATGGAGGAGATGATTCTCCATGAAGCCCTTCTAGCCCCATTAACGTTTTTGTATTCCACAGAGAGGAGGTTCCTTTCCTCGACAATCAACTCCTCCGTATTGACTGTCTTTGCTACCTTCTCCATAAACTCAACCATTTCCTCGTAGCGCTCAGCCCATTCGGCTAATTTGGCCATGTATACATTTTCCTCGCATGATGAATCAGCTGGCGACATTTTTAATGTGCTATATAATACTCAAATCTGCACAAATTTTGGAGAACCTTGAAATGTCAAAATACTAATTAATATGTCGAAACATCTATGTAGAAACTAACTACGGGCCAATACTAATATCTAAGATAAAACCTTAGCTTTGTATTTAACTGCACAATTACAACTTTGATTAAAACGCTTTTCATTCAACAAACTACATCTTATAATCCAACATTGTAAATTTTTCAAACAGCAAAAATATAAATAAAATCAGGATAATGAGCATACAATAAAATTAAAAAAGAGGAGAATCGCATGATTCCCAATAGAAACTCATCCATAAAATACAAAAAGAATAACCCAAAAATTTATCTAAATATGCTCCCATCAGATTCCTTTACTCTCTTTCTATAATATGATTTGAGGTAAAATTATAGCACGTAACTCACACAGATTCAATTATTCCTTCCCATAATCTATAATTTAACAACATTCAAATTAAAATTAATATATTCAACGCATTCAAAGTGCTAGAGCGTATGTTGAACTGGTCGATAATATTAGAAAGCTAGCTGCTACTTTGTTTGGTGAAGTAGCAGACACATGCACTTGGTTGTTCAGCAGTTGAATTGATGGAACATGCTGGAGAGGTATATCTTCAATTTTTCTTCAAAAC